AGATGTCTAGCTACTGTATTACTATAATCGTAATCCTGCAATCAAAGATGAGATATATGGATTAAATTGATACCAGTCGGTTCCTATCTGTAGCGTCGGTATTTTAATCCTTAGGGAGAAAACTTATCACTGTAAGTTGGAATAATTGAAGGCAACTCAAAAAACGTTTGTTGCTGTGCCCGGGACGCAGGTTGTTGTGTGCGGGAGAGAGAGAGAGAGAGAGAGAGAGAGAGAGAGAGAGAGAGAGAGAGAGAGAGAGAGAGAGAGAGAGAGAGAGAGAGAGAGAGAGAGAGAGAAAGAAAGACAGACAGAGAAACATACAAAGACAGGGACAAAGAGAGAGAAAGAAAGAAAGACACAGACAGACAAAAACAGGCAGACAGACAGACAGAGAAAGACAGACAGACAGATAGACAGGCAGACAGAAAGAGAAAGAGAAAGACAGAGACAGAGAAGAGAGAAAGAGAAAGAAAGACAGAGACAGAGAGAGAAAGAGAAATAAGATAAAAAAAAAAAAACGAATAAAAAAAAGAGACAGACCCTAAGACAGACTAAGATCGCGTGACCGAAAACTCATAAACCGAAAAAGACTCAAGTAAAGACTTCGTTTTTGGTGATCAAATAAAAGCTTCATGACTGTCGGTCCTTCTGCCGTGACATGACAGGGCGAGGCAACAGGGTGTGTGTGGCTTGCGGTTTTTATTTGTTTGGTGTTTGTCGATTTTGGTTTGTTGTTTGTCGGTGTTTTATTTGTTTATCGGTGTTTCATTTGTTTGTTGTTTGTTGGAACAGGGTCATCTTTTTATTTATTTGTTGTTTGTCGGTGTTTTTTTCGTTTGTTGTTTGTTGCTGTTTCATTTGTTTGTTGTTTGTCGGCGTTTTATTTGTTTGTTGTTTGCTAGGACAGGGTCATTTTTATTTGTTTGTCGGTTTTTATTAGTGTTGTTTATCGCTTATTTGTTTGTGTTTTATTTGTTGTTCGTCGTTGTTTTATTTGTTTGTTGTTTGTCGGTGTATTACCTATTTGTTGTTTGTTTGCGTTTTATTTGTTTGTTGTTTGTTAGTGCTTTATTTGTTTGTTTGTTGATCCTTTATTTGTCGTTTATCGGCGTTTTATTCGTTCGTTTGTTGTTAGTCGGTGTTTTATTTCTTGTTTGTCGTTTTTTGTTCGTTTGTTGTTTGTCGCTCTTTTATTTGTTAATTGATTGTCACTGTTTTATATGTTTGTTGGTTGTCGGTGTTTTATTCATTTGTTGTTAGTTGGGGCAGAGTCATCTATTTATTTGTTTGTTGTTTGTCGAAATGCGTTCTTCATTTTGGATTGGCTTTACGAAATTAGGCAGGGTTTTTTGAAGAGGGCGTTCAGGGTTAGTATTTTATTTGTTTGTTTGTTGAAGGAAGGTCGGTGTTTTATTTGTTTGACGGAGCAGGGTAACTTTTGTTTGTATTTTTTCTCTAACAGCCAGCGTTTTTTTTATTTGTTATTCGTTGGAGCAGTAGTAATTTTTTTTGTTTTTTTTTGTCGGAACAAGGACATTTTATATAAATAGATTGTTTGTCAAAGCAAGCTCGTATTTTTTGTTTTTTATATGATAAATGTTTTGCTTGTTAGGTGCTTGCAGGAACGATTGCATTCTTCTGTTTGTTTGTTTGTTTGTTTTTCGGAAATTTAAAATTCATTTCGATAGACAATACCATGATTCTACTGAAAAACTGTATATATTTGAATTTGTGTATTTAAGAAAATTTACTGTCTATCTGCGTATGATGATGCTACGTTATTAAAACACTTGCTGAAAATGCTATCCATTCTATAAATTTGATCATCACTTTGATAACAGTATTTCCATCTATTAAACGATAATTATTTCTCAGCCCCAGGAGTTCAGTGATCCATGAAAATATACCACCACAGGATTTATTAAGACGCAATTCATCCCGTGTTCTTGTACATATGCATTAGTTCAGCATTACCTTGATAACAGTCCGTGATCATGTTATTATCAGCTTATTAAGCCGTTCGTAGGTATGAGTATATTTTTTTAAAGACAAAGATGGGCGCTAAGGTTCATTTTTTTTAAGACAAAGATGGGCGCTAAGGTTCATTTTTTTTGTGATAAAGGTGGGCGCTAAGGTGTATTTTTTTTTTTTTTTTTTTTTTTTTAATACCAGTACGATCTCTGTATACCCGTGAACAAGGGTCTGGGGAAAATACCTTTTCAATATCGTGCAATTCGATTCGTATCTTCCGTTAATGGGTTTTAATTTCCGTTGGGAATATGCCGTGAGATTTACGCCTATGCAAGGGAGGTACTTTGAACCCCTTTAGGGATTGGGGGAAGGAGGGGTAGGGGGGGTAAGGTAAGGGAGTGAGGGGTAAGGGGGGTAAGGCAGTGAGGGGGGTAAGGGGTAAAGGGTATTGGGGGGAGAGGGGTGAAAAGCTTGTAAGGGGGAAGGAGGATGAAGGGGAGGGGTATTTTAGGTGTGGGGGGGAGGTAGGTGGGTGAGAGGGTGATGGAAAGAAGTTTTGGTTTGGGGGGGGGGAGAAAATGGGGAGAGGAGGTAGAAGGGAAGGAGGAAGTGGGGGGGAGAGAGGAACATTGGTGGGGAGGCTTAGTTGGGGGGGGGGGGGTGAAGAAGGGAGTGAGAGATCCTGATGGGGTTGGTGAGAAAATAGGGAAGGGAATCGAAAATGGGTGGGTGAGGGGGAGGGGGAGAGAGAAAAGTGGACGGAACGCTTGGAATGAAGTTAGTTGGGTCAGTTCAGAGGCAAAAGTATAAGTGGAGAATGGTGGAGAAGAGGTTAAGTTTTTTTTTTTTTTTGGGGGGGGGGGGGTTGGAGAGGAATGAGATGAAGACCGAAAAGGCATAGATGAGATGAAGAGAAATCGGAGGCGATCTCTCGTCAAAGTGGGCGGAGGGGGGGGGGGGGTAGTAGAGAAGGAAGTAGGCTGTTGAGATTTTTTTTTTGTGGGAGGGAGTGGGTGGCACTTGAGGGGGGGGGGGATAGAGAAGTAAGTAGGCTTTCAAGATTTTATTATTATTATTGTTTTTTAGTGTGGGAGGAAGTGGAGGGTGGGGGCATTGTGGGGGGGGGGGAGGGTGAAACGAAGCCCACCCATGATCCAGCCGGCGAAAATTAGGGCCGCCGTCGCCATTGTCTAATCCGCACGCATTGTTATTAAGTCTAATTTCCATAATCGATGAAGCTACTAGGCTTATAATTATTTGTGATCGAGATGGGGGGGGGGGGTTGGCTGGTTGTGGTGGTGGTGGTGGGGGGGGAGGGGGAATGCGATATAGTGGGGGGAGGGGGAGGGGGAGGGGAGGGACATGAGAGTGTACCCGCCCGCACATACCACGGTTTTATTTTTTTTAATCACAGTTCATATTTCCTTGTATGATTTGTTTCTACTTTATATATATATATATATATATATATATATATATATATATATATATATATATATATATATGTATGTATGTATGCATGTGTATATATACATACATATAGATAGATAGACAGATAGATATAGATAACATACATATATACATATATTCACACACACACACACACACACACACACACACACACACACACATATATATATATATATATATATATATATATATATATATATATATATATATATATATATATATATTTATATAGAGAGAGAGATTTATAAATGCACATATGTGCATATATGTGTGTGTGTATGTGTGTAAGTATGTATATGAATATATATTAAAATATATATATATATACACACACACATATATATATATATATATATATATATATATATATATATATATATATATATATATATATATATATATATACACATATACATATACATATACACTCCAACCGTAAACCCAGTGTGTCTCCGGGACGTCGAGGCGCAGCGCTGTATTCCGGCCCCTGCGTCTTAGGCTTACCGCAACCATTCTGGAATCTCGGTTCGGCCTTCTGCGCGGCAGGTTTGGGACGTTTCCTTGGAACAGGGCTCGAAATAATAAGCCGGTGTCATAACATGCATAACTACGCTCGCACACATGCATTGCTATACACACATACATGTTTTTGTATATAGATAAATAGATAAGTTGTTAGGTAGATATATGTAACTATATAAACTTATATGTGTGTGTGTGTGTGTGTGTATATATATGTGTGTGTGTGTATATATATATATATATATATATATATATATATATATATATATATATATATATATATATATATATATATATGTATGTATATATGTATATAAATGTGTGTGTGTGTGTGTGTGTGTGTGTGTGTGTGTGTGTGTGTGTGTGTGTATGTGTGTGTGTGTGTGTGTGTATGTGTGTGTGTGTACATATATACCCATAAATACATACATAAATACATATATAACGGCTTGTGTCTGTTATTCATATTTTCCATTTTGTAAGTCCTTAAAAGAAACAGATCACCTTGTCCTTATTGTGACGGACGTTATCGTGAAAGAGCATTGGCTGAGTGCATTGTAAGTTGCCGCGTTCTCTACCGCAAGCGACGGAGCCAATCCCGATGCGGAGGCTGATAATCGCTCGCTCAAATAGAATCGATTTTTTTCTCTCTCTCTTCGAGGTGAAAGGGAGGCAGACAGACAGATAGACAGACACGCAGGCAGACAGGCAGGCGGGCTGGCAGACAGACAGACAGGCAGGTAGGCAGGCAGGCAAGCAGACAGGCAGACGGACAGACACACACACACACACACACACACACACACACACACACACACACACACACACACACACACACACACACACACACACACACACACACACACACACACACACACACACACACACACACACACACACACACACACACACACACACACACTGGGACACACAGACAGGCAGACAGACACGCAGACAAACAGGGCAGATAGGCAGACAGACACGCAGACAAACAGGCAAACAGACAGACAGATAGGCAGACAGACAGTCGGAGACAA